CGGGGCAATCTAGACTTGTCAGAATGTGTGCTAGGCATTGCACACTTTATCAGAGGGTGGTGTTCCCAGTCTCCAGCTAAGCACGACTCCTTCCAGCAGAAGATTTGTTCGTGTTGTCGACGATAGAAGTTGGGACTTTGGGTTGAATATTTTCCTCTCCAAAGAGATTTAAGCCTTGTAGAAGGATTTTACAGCGTTGTTGGCTTTTGTCTTCTATCTCCAGTGATGTTCCCCTCCTGTTGAGTTTAGCCGAGCGTCGGGTTGTACTGTGATGTTTCATCATCTTCTGTCCGTCTCCCCTGTCTGTTTTGTCAGCATATACATGACATTCATGACATTCATTCGCACTTGCGTCATGCACGCACAGTTGTATCTGTTGATGTCTTTGAATTCGTACACCTTGGTTGTGTCTTTTCAAATAACGTATTTGATCTTTCCAAATAGGGTGTTAGCTTAAGCATAAAGTGCGCCTCCTTTCTAATTCCCCAACTGAGCTAATCCTCGTGGGTGATTTTTGATTCAGCTTACCTTGTCCATTTCTGGATAGGATAAATTCCCCAATCGAGTTACTTTCTCATTGGGAGGAGTCTTGTTTGACTGTTTTCTCTCTGGTTATTCCTGGATGAAGTTGTTGCCTCTTGCATAGGCTATCTCAGTGATTTTCCCCAGTGAGTTTGCGACCAAGACGACTGGTGCATTTATTTTGCACGTTAAATATATGATCTCCTCGGGAAGGATTGATTCAGGGTTCTCTTTGATGAAGATTTTATTCTCTGCCAATATCATCGCAGTTTCCTTCTGAATTATGTTGGAAAACGACAAGCGGTAGCTCTTCACGAGCAACTTGTACATTACTTTTTCGAAAGCGCCGAGCAGCAGTTCTTCACGAGCTACTAGTGCGTCAGTTATGACTTTGTGAAAGCGCCGAGCAGCAGTTCTTCATGAGCTACTAGTGCGTCAGTTATGACTTTGTGAAAACGCCAGCAGTTCTTCATGAGCTACTAGTGCGTCATTTTATCCTTTTTGGGAAACGCCGAGCAGCAGTTCTTCATGAGCTACTAGTGCGTCATTTTATTCCGTTGGAAATCGCCGAGCAGTAGTTCTTCATGAGCTACTAGTGCGTCTTTTATCTGTTTTCAAAGCGCCGAGCAGCAGTTCTTCATGAACTACTAGTGCGTCATTTACTCTTTCTGAAAGCGACAAGCAGCAAACTCTTCATGAGTTACCAGTACGTTATTACTTTTTCTTCGGAAAACAGCAAGTGGTAGCTTCTTTATTTGAGCAGCTTGTATGTTATCGGTACTTTTCTGGACGACAGCAAGCGGCAGCTTCTTTATTTGAGCAGCTTGTATGTTATCGGTATTTTCTTTGGGAATACAGCAAGTGGTAGCCTCTTTATTTGAGCAGCTTGTTTGTTATCGATATTTTCTTTTCTGGACGACAACAAGCGGCAGCTTCTTTATTTGAGCAACTTGTTTGTTATCGGTATTTTCTCTGGACAACAACAAATGGCAGTTTTCTTTATTTGAACAACCTTCGTATCTACAGTCTCATTACCTCAGCATTAATGAGTATATCTCTGAAAATCTCGCAGAGAAGTCTGTTACGAATCTCCACCTCCAGAAGTCGGTAGTCCGTTATCAGCAATTTGATACTCTCTGTCTACCGTCGACCTTGAGTTGCGAACTCACTGTTTTGGGTCAAATCTGTTATGGCCTATGCAAGATGCTCTCTTTGTTAGGGTTAGAGGTTGTCTTCCCTCGATTTTATTCGCTGTCAGGAGTCTGTCGTTTGAAGTCGATAGCTCGTTTTCCCCAGTAATGTATAATCCGAACCGCTGTGTTTTGTTGGTGTTCGATTCCCCCAACATTGTCTTGTTTCACACAATATCTTTCTCTGTGAATTCATGCACTACATTCATATCACTGCATGATGACGGTATCATAGGACAAAATTTGCGTAGTTATGTATTTAAGTACCTTCAATCTCGTCGAAACGAAGATTTCAAATCTTCATATCTCCGGATAAAAGGAACTTAAATAGGGGCAGCTGTTGTACCCCAAATTTTGACCTAAGATACCGTCTTCCATCCGCATTATTCGCATTGCAAGGGTTTTGACCTATTTTTATCAAATTTTAAAACAGTTTAAAAATTCACAACTTTTTCGAGTCAGAAGCTGTTTATTTGTTGAACGCTAAATTTATTAACTGATCAAGACTTAAACAATGTTCATTAATTATTTATTATCTTAAATTCAAATAATTGGAATTTATTTTCGATTATTACGTAATTTAAAGACTTATAAATAATAAAAAGAATATTTGAGAAAGGTTATTAATGGGTCAAATAATGTTTATTAATTATTCATTATCCTAAATTTAAATAATGGGAACCTGTTTTCCGCTATTATATAATTTGAAGGTTTTATGAATAATGAAATAAACATTTGAAAATGAGTATATTAATTGATCAAGCAATGTTTATTTGATTATTTATTGTTCTAAATTTAAATAGCTGAAATTCTATTTTTCAAGTTATTATAATTTAGAAGAATTAAAAATAATAATAAAATAAATAATTGAAGTTATTAATTGATCAATGATGTTTATTTATTTGTTTATCATTTTAAATTTAAATGATTGGATTTGATTTTTAATCATTATATAATTTAAGGAATTATAAACAATAAATAAATAATTGGAAAGAAAAGGAATTAATTGAGAAATAATAGAATTTTTATTCACTTTATTCTATTTATTACAATTGTTGTTTAAATACTATTGTACAAAGTATTTATAATAACCATTACATAAATGCTTAAAGTAAAATAAAACTATTTTCCTAAATTCTAATTCTAATCTTCAATCCAATGCTCTTTGTTTGCTCATTTAATTTTACCTGCGAAAACAATTAAAAGAAAAGTCAGAAGTGAATAAGTAATTAAAATGAAGAAAATAAATTTAATGTTCATCATTAAAATCAAACGGCCGGAATCAGTTACTCTTTTTTGCAAATCACGGGATTTCTCCCGGTTCACAAAAAAGAGAGGATTTTTTAAATGAATGCATAATTAAAAATAGCGCATTTTCAAAATCATTTGCATCAAAAGCCTACTGCATATTTCACATATGCATAAATACATTTTTTGGTCAAAACTGCATAAGTACACAGCATACATAATTTCAAAACAAACAATATGCAATTTCAAACAATGTGCAATTTCAGAACTATGCAGTTTTTAAAACAATGTGTGCAAGCAACCTATTTCCTTTTTCATCATATTCCAGCCTGTATGGTTTTTCAGAACAGCAGTACAGATATCACATTTATGTATCATGTATGTACTTGAGGTAGAGAGAAGAAGAGGCTTAATTTTGCAGGTTCTGGCCTAAGCATGAAATGGGAATGAAATCACATGTAGCAGCATATATGCAGCATCAGGAAATATAATTAAATACTCAAAACCTGAGCCACAAAGGGGGGAAGCAACGGCTATTTGCAATCCCTTCAAAAAGGAAGTGAACTGGCATAGTAACACCACCAACACATTACTGCAAAACTAAGCCAAGCAAACACCATATTCCATTTTTTCACACCATAACCATCATTGCATACTGCATGAGAAGATAACCTGCATGCTACAAGACTACCAAGAGAGATAGGAACATAGTCCATTTTGCAAGCTTAACCTGCATACTGCTATATACCGTATCGCTGCAAACCATTCCCAGACCATCACTACAAAAACTACAAAAAAACATAGCTACTGCATATTCTAAAACCTGCATAGTCCATTACAAACCATATTCCATTTCCACACAAGACATTACTGCTAAACCATCTTGCATAACATATTGCAAATCACACAAACATAACCTGTATCAAAACTATTCAAAACCGTAACACAAGGCAAAAATCGCATACTGCATTAGAACCATTTTTCAAGCATACGGTGTCAAAACCATAGCCAAAGCAGTATAATCATAAACCACCAAAAATCAATTATTCAATATTCCCACCAATTTTTTTACGGAGAAGAAGAGAGGAATTAGTAGCAGGAAGCAAAGAGCGAAGAACCTTCGGAGCTGACCTGACTTCGCCGGATCGTACCGTCGGACTAGCTCCGACCATGTGAGTTTTTCTTCAGTTTTTCGCATAATCCTTTATATCTTTGTGTTGCCTTTGTCTCACTTAATACTCTCTTTAATTTCCTGAAATCATGTAAATGGCCATTTAATATTATTGCGAATCATCAACATATTTAATCCCGGTTATACACCGACAATAACTCGATTGATAAAATTCAAGATTCATAATATTGCAAAACCGGCACAATCATAACACACTATTAATTTAAAGCCAATTTGAGGTAATATAGAAATTCACAAACCTTTCTTAACGCAAACCATTATCATCACCATCCTAAATTCAACCAAAAACCAACATTTCCATCCTAATCCAGATAAACATACTGTGATCTAACTTTCACAAGCTCCTCCTGTCAAAACCATTAACTAATTTCATTAAAGGGTACAACACAACATAATACTGAATGCTAACAATTGGTACAGAGGTTTATTTTCTTTTTTTCAGAATCATGAAAAGAACAAAACAAAGTCATCCGTACAACTCAACCATTTCCAGGACCTATCCATCTCTTCCTCTTTTATCCTTTATCTTCCAAAAAAATAACTTTGTGTTTTTTTTTATCTTTTCTATCAACCTTGAATAATAAAATACAACACCAAGAAAACTCATTATATAGCCACTAAGTCTCATATCACATCTTCTAAAACAGTGAAAAATCAGAAAAATACCATAACAAAATTACCTTGCATTGATTCTTTCTTCATTCTGCAGAAGAATTGTAAATAATTTTAGATCGCTCTGTTTGCTTCAGTCTTCAGAACCTTCATCGCCATCAACGATTCATCATCCTTGTTTATGTCCAACAAGCCACCCATTGTACAGTTTGTCTCCCGAATGTTTCATCCAACATTTATGCTGATGGAAGCATTTGCCTGGATATATTGCAAATCGGTGGAGTCCTATATGATGTAGCTGCAATTCTCACTTCTATCCAGTCATTGCTTTGTGATCCCAAGCCAAATTCTCCTGCAAACTCTGAAGCAGTACGGATGTATAGTGAGAACAAGCGCGAGTACAGTAGAAGAGGTTCCAAATCGCATCAACTTTGAAGAGAAAAGAATTGAAGCTTACCGGTAACCTCACAAGACCCAATCGTTGTCTTATCCAAATTCCACTGCTCCAATCGTTTCCAGCAACGACGTTCACTACAACTCAGACCGCGAGCACCGCCCCACCTCAACACTCGACCGAGCCATTCTCCAATCCTCTCTCTCTCGAACCGCTCCATCTCTTCCACACATCCCTCGCTTAGTAACCATCTTCGTCAACCTGTTTCGACACTCACAATAATGTTTCAAAAGATCTAGAAAATCATCTCAATACACAGAAAATTCATAAAAAAACTTATAAGAGGACACAAGAACTCACCTCTCAAATTGCTAACCATTCTTGATTTACAAATTCTTCCTCTAAAAAAATCATTTATCAAAAGAACAATCAAATCCATCAACCGGCTCACCTCGGCTCGGTACTCAACTTCTCGCCGCGACTTCCAGAATCCCCTCCGCGCAAGCCTCTCTTCGATTCCTTCATAAACAGCGAACTCCACCATTTATGCCTCACGATCCATCGTTTTTTTCAAGTCCAGCGGCGGCGGCACACTTAGCGTTCCATGGGATCCGGCGGCGGCGGCACACTTAGCGCTCCCTAGGTTTTTCTTTCTTACAGCAATTGTTGCTCTTCTTCCTGGGTCCGGGTCTTCCACGACCCGCTCCATCTTTCCTCAACCCAGCTCAGCCTTTTGCCTAAGCCCATTTTCTTGTTTTACTTAAGCCCTTTTCATTTGATATTCATCCCCTCTTTTATTTACTGTTAGTTAAATTCCTTTCTTTTTCTTAATTAATTTAGATTAGTTAATTTTCTTAGGAACTAACATATAATTTTAAATAAATAATGTCTAATATTTTGTCCAAATCTTATTAGTTTAAGTTTTAATTTAGTAAATCAAAATAAAAGATGTAACTTAAAACTTTTTTTAATATTTGACTAATTTTATTAATTTAAACTCTTAGGATTTAATTTAATAATCTTAGTATTTTTTTAATTGAGACTTAAGTTAGTAGCATTAAATTTTAATTTAATTTAAAGAATTCTTAAAAGTAATACTTTTTATTTATATAATAAAAACATATAAAAATAGAAACATATAAAACCTAAAAAATATTTCTATTAATTCTCATTACCTTTTATCATTGAAAATGCGTAAAAAAGGTGAAATCAATTAACTTTTTTTCTTTTCGCCTATTAAACAAAAAATCATATAAAATGCATGTTCACATTTAATCGTTGTGTATCATTTTCTGTCAATTATTTCATTGTACTTGATTATTCTGTTTGTGCCAATCCAAAGGGAATAGTCTAATTTTTTGTTGACTTCATGTCCTCAAAAAACGATCGAGCGAGTACCCTCATTTCATTGAAACTTAGGATAATTTTCCAAATATCCGATTTCTCCAAAACTCACACCTTTTAAGTCAAAACTTCAACGTTAGGTTGTCGTATCTTCAAAAACCCGTCCGTATCCCTTTTTCGGCCAAAACGATTTATTTTTAAATCAAGCGATCAATTTTAAATAAAACAGATATTTCAAAAGGTTCCTATAGAGTACTATAGATGCATTGGGTGCTAATACCTTCCCATTGTATAACCAACCCCCGAACTCTCGATCTCTTTTCAAACACTTTGTATTTGTATCTTATTTACATTGCATATTTAGGGTTTATTTCGCTCTTTTCCCTTTTCCTTTGGAAACAATAAAGCGCGGTGGCGACTCTTGCTTTTGCGAGACGAATTAATCAATAATTCGATCTCCGATTTACCCCGCTACATTTTTTATCGCTACAAAGTCCAAGAAATGCTCTCACAAAAAGTTATCAATTTTAATATTATAGGTCATTTTTAGAAGTCAACAAAAAGGGACTTTAAGTCAAAGGCCATAACTTGAGATTGGTAAATCAAAATGACATGGGACCAACGAAATTGGTTAGAGGACTCAAAGACCTTTCCAAAATGTCCAAGAACATGAGCAAAGCTTAAAAATTGAGCAAGTTATGCCTTGTGGAAGTTGGGAAATTTTTGGATATTTTGAAAAGTCAACATTGCTTCAAATGACCTAAAATTGCTAATGGGCTTCTTTTTCTTCCACAATTCATTATCCAAAGCATGTGCACGACCACTTGGCCCAAAGGGAAGTTTTCTTCATTTTTTATTTATTTATTTGGATTTTTATTATTAATAATTCATTTAAATTAATTAAAATGCATGGAAAATACTAAACCTAATTTATCAAATCTTTTTGTACATGTAATAGGTTCAAAAATTCGTGCATGATCAATTAGGGAAGAATTGAAGGTGATTGGATATGATTGAGAGAAAATGTGCATGAAAAGATTTGAAAATATTTTGCCATAAAAATCAAATATCCATACATCAATTCTTTGATTCCTTGGACAAGAAACTTAACCTAATTTATTCCATACATAAGCTGGATCAAGACCTAATGCTCAAAAACCAAAAAGCTGCGCAGAAAAAGCATATGAAAACTTGGAATTTTTCAAGAAAACTCCAAATCTGAAAACCTGGTTCGAGGACGATTCAAGGCCAAGCAATTGTTCCATTAGCTTCCTGAGGCGTCAAGGGAAGTTTTCCAATCAAAATCAATCATCCCAACACCCAGAATTGGTATACATAAATCAAGTTTTCTCACTTTTTTTTTTCAGAATCGTGTTTTGAGATTTAAACATTTTCATTGCATAATTTTAATGGATTCTTACTAAATGATGCATTCTGAAGCTAACCACATGGATTAATTGCGTTTTTATACACTGTATGCGAATCTACCATTGTTGCTTTTTAGGGTTCTTAAGTTTTCAAATTAGGGGTTCTTGAATATGGAAAAATTGGAGCTTGAAACCTAGACCATCCAACTCAGTGCGCTTGGACGAAGAGAATGAGACCATCGCGCCTAATTTATGAAGCCCCAGGGGCTATTCGCTATTTTTCAGAAAGGTGCCTATGGGGACATTTGAAAAACCGTTGCTAATGGTATTTCGTTTCAGGAAAAGAATAAAACCAACGAGGAAGACGCTTAGGTGGCTATCAGCGGTTGGTCCGTTTGAAAGTTCGCGCTAAAAATCCACTAACGCGTTTGTTTTGTTTTATATTGATTGCTTATTATATATTATACAAAGAAAACAAAGTGGCGCGTTTGGTAAAGCACAAGACTGGTAAACCATAGGACCTGGGTTCGAGCCCCAGGTCCTCACTCTTTCCCTATTATTTTTCAACTAATGTTCCTATGCAGCGTCAATACTAAAGCATGCCATGCGCTCACGCTACCAAACATCCACGCGTCCCACTGGATTCAATCAAGGGTCATGATCTGGAGAGCACGGTGAACTCTAGTCAACGCGTATACGTGCTGGCACAAAAGTCCACCAGGCCAAGGTAATTAGGCCCAAATTGCTAAAGAGAAACCTCACAACTGGGGACAACACCCCCCTGAGGTTTGCAATATTTTTCTTTTTTTTATTCTTTTTTTTATTTTCAATTATTATTCTTTTTGATTAATTCTGTTAATTCAATTATTTTCATAATATATAAAAAACACAAAAAAAAAATCAGAAAAGAGAAAAATTAATAAATATTTTTATTTTAGTATTTTTTTGTAAATAAATTCATTAATTCACTTAGTTTTAAACTTAGGTTTTAATCTTAATATTTTTCACTAAAACTCAAAACTTATAGAATTAGGGTTTAATTAATCTTTTATCCTTTTTTATTTTCTTTCATAATAATTAGATATTTACTATTACTTATTTTTGTAATTAAATTGCATGTAAAATAATTAGGGTTAATTTTAGGTTAAACTTTAATATGTTTTCATAATAAAATAAAAATTGTAGAATTAGGTTTAATTGCATTAAAATCATAAAAATACAAAAATACCAAAAACAAATTTCTTTTCCTTTTAATTTTATTAATTTAATAATTGTTTAGTTTAATTTAATTAAAAAGGGTCCAACGCCCTTGTTTCTAATTCTTATTTAATTCGCATATTTATTTCTTCTTCGTATAATTTTTTATGTATCTCTCCCAAGGCCATGTAACATTTTAATCTTTACTTTTCTTTACTTTCTTTATTTTCTGTCAAATCGGGTTCAAGAAATTTTGGCGATGTGGACCCGCGCCTTTTGTAATAGCTTAGAATCTTTACTTTTCTCGCACTTTTAACTGTTAATCAAGGCATGCAAGAATGAATGGACAAAAATAAAAACAAGCGTGGATCACTTTGACAAAAGACAAAATAACTGAACATGACACACAAATCACACACCACCCCTAGGGTACGCCTCACTGTTGCCTTGCCTCGAAAGGTGATCGTCGAGTAGAGGATGTCTTAGTAAGTCCTCATGATCCGGGAACCTGGCATGAGGGTAGCTTCTAAGGTGTCTTCCCATTGCTCTGGTGATCACCATGTCCCGAACCTCGAATTGACCCGAACACCTCCAACGGTGGTGCTACCTACCTCTCAATGGTGGGATGGCATTACTTTAAAGGACATTTACACAGACGAATTCCTTAGGGTAGGTAGACGACTCGTGGATACTTGCTCTAATTCAAAACAAAACAAATCAAAAATACTTTTCACACCAACACATTTTCAAAAAGCTTTCGAAAGCAATTTTTCAAACACTCTTGAGGACCGATACAAGAGTCGAACTGGAATTTTCAAAGAAACTTTTTTAAAACCCACAGTTGAAAAGCAAACAAACCATTTTTGAAAACACAAATGAGCGAGTATCTAAGAGCCCGTGGATAACCATGGATAGAAAGGGTGCTAACACCTTCCCTTTCTATAATCTACCTCCCGAACCGAGAGCAATCTCTATAAGGAATTTTTCTGTGCTTTTGTCCTTTCCATTTGGAGAAAATAAAAGACGGTGGCGACTCTTGCTTCCGCGACATTTCGCGAACCAGCATTAAACAGTCAGTTCCAGATCCACCGATCACAGAGGTTCAGGCAAAAATTAAGGATTAAAAGCGTACGACTATGTCCCGTGAAATGAACACGGTCAATTATATCACCAAGGGCCAAGTTCAAATGGTCCAGGATCAATCCAATCAACTTCGATCAACGGCAAGAGACGTTCGAAGATGTATGGGAAATAGTAGAGCTGGAAGGCAATGGGATAGTTTCACATGGCTATGCTGTTATCATTCTCAATT